AAAAGTGAAATCACTATATTTTTCTAGGAATACACAGAGCAAAAGAGCTCAAATGGTTCCTTCTGAAATTTCTGCTGTGTAACGTTATGCAATGCCATATAAAATCGGGTGATGGAAGCTCATAAAAAGTGCCTGAAATTCTCAATACATTCTACATCTATAGGCTTAAATAAATCCATTTTGAGGACTCCATCACACCTACCACACATGAGTTTTTTTTACAGCTACAAATGTGACAGCTCATGCTTTTGCCTCCTCACAGTATACAGCTCCTCCATGAACAGAAAGCATTTAGTGAACAGAAATGTAGACAAGCTCTAATTTTCTGTACAGTGGCAACTGCATCCACTATGCGTTACACTGTCACTTTGCTCTGAAAGAGTTAACTTTCTAGCTCCTATTCTCTGCAGTGCTGCATAAACACTGCACATTATTCTTACTGAGCATGCTTCATCTTTCCTGTCTCCACAGTCTTGGGCTGTCAATCACCTGTCAGTCCCTACCACATCAGCACAGTGCGCATCACCAGGCTGTCAGCACAGCAGCTGATGAGACTCTGCTAAGAGCTGTCAATCAAACTTGTTTCTCTTATCTGTTCGGGAAATATTTTGTCTCTAAGAAACAAAGAACCTGGGCAACAATGGATCAGAGTCTAGTATTTACTCTTTTACAAGGAGAGAAGGCTCTTAACACAAAACGAATGTTTTATCCACAACCAGGAAAAAAAATCTGCTCCATTAGGCATATTTTCTTTTTTTGATTTTGTTTAAATCCTATTTACTTTTTGACCCAATAAATCAGGGCATAATAAATTAAAGCAAATTTCTTTTTGCTCTCACTCTAAAATAAATTTCATGGGTTTACTTCTTAAGTTTCTGTTGAATATAATCCACTGCAGTTTAAAACAGGTAGCATCTCTTTGGTTTTGGGAATCTTTCTCTGTCTTTAGGCACTGGAATGTGTGATCTTTCTCTCCGTCTCACTGTAGCCAAAAAGCCAGACTAGAGAAAACACACCTTTGTTACGTTAAAATATATCTTTACTTCTGTAGTGTTTCTCATTAAAACTCAATTTCAACATAGAATTTAACAGCATGAGTATGGTTCACAGATAATAGCAGACCAAAAGAATAGCTGAGGGGTATAAGCAACCAGGACAAAAACATACATTTTCAGTGAATGTTTGAAAGAAGATAGTATCTTCTTTCTGGAATGCTGTACTGGGGAGGAAGAATTGCAGAAGGTAAAATTCTCGCATCTCCAGAAATAAAATGCTGAAGAAAGACAAAAAGAGCCGCAAAGATGGGCACAGCAGCGATTTAAGGTCTGACACAGAATCTCTGCATGGAAAGTTGAGCTGGGCTTTCAAGTGCACATCTATCCGAGGCAGAGTAATGTTCTGCAAAGATAACTGGTCTAGGTCTAACAAACCTGGCAATCAAATTAATTAGCAGTAGTGGATCACTGAACTAACAGACCTCTACTCTTCCCAGGGCATAAGTAAGTACCTTTACATGCCGTGCCATACAGATATACAGGCACATTTAATACTAGGTTGAGTATCGGTACATAATGCTGTCTCATGCTGAGTAAAGTAAACATAACCCAGTGACTTAAAATCCCCACTCTGGCCCATATCTATTTTTCGCTACAAATTAAAGAATCTCAGAGCTGATAGTCAAGGAGGAACCTTGCAGACCCAACAGTGAGAGCGGCAAAGGGAAGAAAACCACTTTCCTCGGTATAGAGAGGTGTGTGCTGTAAAACAGGATAATGTGAAAGGCAGGCCTAAAAATATTTGGTGTTTTCCATAAAGCTTCAGTTTGGGGCCATGAAATTAAATAAGCAGCTTAGTTTTCTGAGACAAAAAAAAGTGAGTTTACAACCCTTACAGTTTTTTGGACAGAACTGTATATTAAAATTTAAAAGAAACAGGAGGCAAGTAAAAGTAGTATTTTTTTTAAATGTTGTAACACTTACACAAACAATTATTTACAGGCCTCATTCACATGCTCTGAACATTTGGATTGCCTGTGGGACTGGGCTGTCCAGGTAAGAGCAGAGGGCAGACAGAGCCAGCTGAGAAAAAGGCTGCGATAGGAAACTTTTCCCATGGCAAGGGAAACTTTAAAGCAAGCAGGGAAAAGAAGCCCCCAGAGGAGTTTGGGGACTGCAGTCAAGGTTAGAGAAGAGCAGAAGAGAATATGCAAGTTCCCAGCAGCCTCCCACAAGACTCTTGGGGGCTTTGAAGAAGGAACCTGAGGCAAAACACTGTGCTCCTCCTCATCTCCGGCAGCTGAAGGCAAGATCCGGATAGTCCCTGAGAACAAGGAGGGAAAGGGGCTTGGAATCACCATAACCCAGAGAAGAATTGTGGCCGTGGACAAGGAAAAACTATTTGTCCTTCCCCACACACACCCCACCACAAGATTTTTTCTGGAAGTTGTTTGCTTCAGAAGAGAATATTTTAGTTCCCAAAAGAGGGAAACAATTGCCCAAAGGAAAGAAAATGAGGTGGCAGCCACAACCAATGTCAGAGACGTAAGCAAATCTCTCACAGGCTGAAGCAAGACAAAGGCAGGCAATTTTGAGCTGAATCCTGGAGCAAAGGCAAGAGGTTGGCATCCTTCATCACTTTCAAGTCTATAAATGACTTCTCAACGGATGCCTATTTCTCTTTTCTAGGGCCTAATCTTGGTCCCCTCCATTACCGTTTGTGCCTACAAGAGTAAGAACAAACAATTTGTCTTTTCTCTTCCCTCTCAGCCAGCTCCAATGTTTTTAATGCCCACTACATACTAAAGAGCGTGAACACGGGGCGAGGAGGCGGTGTCTCACTGGGGGACAGTGCGGATGGAGACGAGGCACTTTTGTTTCATCTCTTCCAAAACTCCCTGGGTGGTGCTGCCGCCACTCCGCATACTCTGGCTCATCTAACAGAAGCCCCAGCCCACTGGCCAGAGATTTCATCGGTTACTTGGAATAAAGGTAGTGGGTGACATTATGGTCTTTGGGAGATGCCAAGAGCCTCCATAGTCGTAATGGGGCACACGTGCAGCTAGGGTGGGCAAAACGGAGACCTCAATCAGGTCTCTGTGCTCAGCGAGGACCTGCTACAGGTAGAAGCGATTTTCTGCTGATGTTTGCACCCAAAGGGGAGAAGACTGCTCTGTTCTCAACTCCTGGACATGTTTTTGGACACAAACTTCCCTGGTAGGAAGAGAGGGTTGCTCCTAACACACAGCCTCCATTCTGCACCCTCCCCAGGCAACGCTGGAGGTGTCCCCGAGCAGGGACTTGGACAACCTGGCACCCTCAAGGCTGCTCTCAAAGGCTGCTCAGATGGCAATGGAAGTCCCAGGCCAGAACAGCTCAAGCATGCACTTTAGAGTATCACTAAACAGGAATACTGCTCATGTCAGAAAGAATCATTAATACCATAGTTCAGAAATACGTAAATATTTACTAACAAAGGAAAGGAAGGGTGAATGAACAGAAAGAGCCCTATATGCTGAGCTTTAATTCCAGATGCTGAGAATAACAACACCAAAAGCAACAACAGTTTGTGCCGAGGTCAGAAGTTAAAGCCAGAGGAAAAATCCTGTGTACTAGTGGCTTTTAAAAACATGCCCACAGTAATTTGATCTTTCAATCATGCTTATCAGCAACAAGGCTAAGAATCACAGTATTGCCCCGTACCAAACTGTCCCAGCTACAGATAGTACAACCATTATCAAGCATTTGTGACAACAGGAATATTTTACTCTTTGACAAATTCTTTCATATGCAGCACTGTTTTCCAGAAACGCAACTCCCTCTGATCTAACTGGACATTAATTGCTTTTTTGCTGATGTATCTGTGCCTTCTGGACTGATAACACAACTAACAAATCTGATATCTGACAAGTTGACTCAACCTAATCAGGACAGATCAGCTGTTACCAACGTTGCTATAGGCTGTAATTTGAGGACCTTTACAGAGTTATCACTTGCTTTGAAAGGCAAGAAACTGTAATTCTGTCAACACTAATCCCAGAATGTGCGTTTAAAGTAGCTGTTATTTTTTCTCCAGGAGAAGGTAACACTTGTCAAATAAATACCTGAGATAATTGATAAAAGGAATTAGAAGTATGTGAGCGATACGCTGACAATCAGTCAATCTCACAAAAAAGAACCACCTCGCAAGATTCAGAACATTAAGCGGAGAGCACAAGCTGTCACCGTGAAGCAGGGGTCACTCTGAATGGAGTGAAACAATTGGCAATGCAGTTTTTCAGTGTTTACTTATCTATCTGTTGCTTAGTGCTAAAGCTGAGTGAATTATTCACTTCAAACAATTTGTTCGATGAATTTTACCACTTTTTCCTGCTCAGCGTATGCGGGCAATGGATATCAATGCCATCAGATTTATTCACTGCTTCACTTTTATTCGAGCTTTCATTTAGTGCTTGACTGAGAGTATTCTAGACTTCCACTGCTGTTCAGACAATATCCAGGGCAGGTCCTTAATGTGTGCAAACAGCATAGACCCATGCAGCTGATGGAATAATGATTATCTAAACCAGCAAGGATATAGCTTGTGGTATTTTTTTTCTGATCCCTGTATAAATCTGGAAGCCGTTCCAGCAACAATACTGAAATTTGCTACAAAGTTCCCTTTCTGTGAACAATTTTGCCCACAAGACTCAATGCTCAAATGTTTGCGGAAACCAAATTAACAAAGAGTGCAAGCGCAGCCAAAACAAATTAATTAAAAAATTCCAAAGATTATATTGTATTATTTGCCCTACTCCACTAGGAAATGTATTTTCATGTAATAAAATGCAGAGGAATTCCACAAAAAAAACAGATTCCCAACCCATGCAATTCTTTAATAGAACTTGATGGTCACTGACTACAAACAAGTGACTGTGTCATTGCCATGGTTGCAGCTGTCTTTTACAGGTAAACTGTGTTTGGAAACTCAGGCTTAAAATTAGAACAAAAAAATATATCTCTTACTGTATCGCTTTGGCCCATCTTCCAAACAAAACGAAAGGGTTAAGGTTGCATCATCTTCAAAAAATTCAGTTGCAAAGGCATCCCACCAGAGGTTGTCACTATCCTAGGAAGCAACAGATCATTCACTTAACAGGAGGCAAAATGAAAGTATTTTCATCCTTTGTAAAAGAAACTCGACAGGATCACACATAGTTTGCACTTCTTCACCTATGATTTTGGGGTGTAGATGTCTATATGATATTTCAAACTAATTTTCCTAGATAAAGTTCTAGTTCTAATTTAAGAAAAAAGCTTAAATGTTTAGTTTATTATACAATAAACTGTCTTTCATTTTATTGAGCACACTAAATATGTAAAAACTTTCATTCTCATAAATACATGTTCTTCTTCAAATGTTAAAAATGGTTTTATAAATCAATTGCAAATAAAGCGATTATGACTTTTCCCCCCCTTTTCTGGGCTGTGTATCTCAAATGCTTGGTTCCAATAATGAAAAAAACTCAGTCCTTAATTCTATAATGCTACATAACCTGATTATCAGCATGAGTTGACAAGAAAGTTATTTAGAAACTAAATATAATAGCCATTCCACTCCAATGCATTTAATATAAACACAATGCTACTGCAGGTTAATTAAATACCAGCTAGTCACTTAAATGTAATTGTTGTGAGAAATCTTTACTTTTCAATGTGATACATGAAGTGAAAACAATATTTTAAGTTGACCTGTGTATACTTAGACTTACACTAATACACATAGCTGGAACATAGCAATTATTAATATAGTGTACAATGTAAAGCATATCCTTATACACCAGTACAGGTGGTCTGCTGGCTTTGACAACTGAACCAGGCATTTTCAGACCTGGGTGGTCAACAAGAGGCACCCAAACCTTGATGTCTAGCACCTGTGCAAGTGGTCCAGCTTGCAAGGGTTTTCACAGAAGTCGGGCAACAACAGAAGCCACCGTTTCATTTAAAAGCTATGGATATATTTAATAGCCGGATTTGAAATGTTTGGTGCAGTCTCTTCTGCTCCTTTGAGACCCTGAGATTTAAATCACTTGCGGCACACAGGATCAGCAACAAAGCTGGAAATACACTTCTGAAGATGCCCCAGTTGCGCTCCTCAGAGCCACTCTATCCCACTCACGGCAGCTGCCTTCCCAGCGTGCAAGGCCAGGTTCATGCAGCGTAGCGAGCACTGAGTACCTCTTAATGCCTGAGCAATATGTAACTAAGCCAGAAAACATTTGTTACCTTCACAGGAAAAAAACACTGAGATAAAACGCCCATTTAAGATGAAACATGCATCTATCATACTCGTTATATGTACGCATGTAGAGAAATAACTATCTTTTTAGTTTTTTAGATCTGCTCCTGTTTTTCCTGAAGACATTACCACTGGATTTCACTCCAAACTGCTGAGCAGGGTATCTTTCCTGCCTCAAAACTTCACTTTGATTTTTGCCAACCATCCAATGGAGAAATGGTAAGGAGAGGTTTTAGCATTCCAGCTCCTACCAGAGACCCTCAAGAGACTTCTTGGCTGGGTCAGAGCCTGTAATTCACCACCCGGCCGTGGCAGGAGGTACCTGCTCAAATTTCAGTCACACAAAGAGGTATCAAAACTGTCCCCACAACTTAGAAATCTGTTGTCACAGAGAGCTGCTGCTCTTTCCTCTTTGTGGGTGTAAACCTGATGAGTGTTTCCACATGCAAATACCGCTGCATTGACACATTGTGTAGCCACAATGATAAGTACAGGAGATATATATATATATATATACAGGTGTCCAACAGAAGCCCAGAATCCAGCTTCTAGCAACACACCTCTCTGCACTAGCCCTTCACTCGGGACAGCCTGGTGGGTGACATTATAAGCCCATACAAGAGTGTATTGTCCAACAAGTAATTATGAGCTACCACTCTGCCATTTGCCAAAAGAGAGGCTGCAGTATCATTTAACTGGGATCTTTCAGACATACTTATCATAGGGAAGGAAGAGGGGAGGGAAGGGTTTAAGCAATGTCACATACCACATTCGCAGCACTTGTTAACTCAGTAGTTGAGTATCACTGGAGCCACTCGTGCAGCATCCAACGACACAGGAGGCAAAAGGGGAGCATCACATAGTTGGGATGCAAATGCACACGGGAAAGACAGAGAAGAGCAGGGAAAGTGCAGGGCCTCACCTCAAAACCACACATATTTGCACTCACTCTTGCTTCCAAGAAGTCTGAAGGCAAGGAAAATGTGGAGACGGAATTGCTGTGGATTCCCTCCCTGCATAGATGAAATATCCAGACTCTGTCACAGTTTGAATACTGTCCAAGGACTTTATCTTACGCTTTTGCATATTTCATGTCAGAAAGAAGGAGAAACAGAAAATGCAACACCCCGCCCCCACCCACAAAAAAACCCCCAAACCTTAATAGAATATATAAATCCTCTGTCAAGCTTGGATACGCTCTGCTGATTAATTCTCTGCTCCACCCTTGTCACAGGTGGGCCCAACTACTCTCACAGCCAAATGGTGAACAAAACCAAATGAGGTGTCCCCTAGCCAAGCTTAAAAAGGATCCAGTTGTTATGAAAAAAAAGAATAATAATAAAATCACCCCCTTTTTCTTGCAAAAAGGGGATGGTGAAGGCAAGGCTGCCCCCAGGCATCTTTAACTTATGCTCTGACAGGTTACGGGGGATTTTGCCAGAGTAATTATTTTTCTATTCAACAATAATGAGAAATTACCATGGCAACCTCCCTTTCACGTAGTGCACTCACACGCTCAAACATTGAAATAATGGCCTAAACATAACAAAAAAAAAATTAATACTTTAAAAATATTTTGTATTAAAATAAACTTAAGGAATGGGTCAAAGGAGAGAAGAGGGCAGAGACAGCCAGCGAGCTGGGTCAGAAGTGAAGATGCCATGCTGCTGTAGCCAGCTACCCAAGCAGCAAAACGTCTTCTGCCACAACTGTCACTGTTCCCTCTGATCCCCTCCACCCCCGGTATTATTTGTAATTTGAAGCATGGCTCAACTCTGAATAGGGTCTCCAAGTAAATGGAATCCTAGGGTTTCAATATTTTTTCCTGACTCTGATTTCTTTGGCAAATGTAATCAGATTTTAAGTACAATGATGTTCTTTTTCCTCCTCCATCTAATAGTCCCACATGTTCACTGTATGATCTGAGAGTCAAGCTGGGTTCTTCTTTACACCTTACACACTTACATGATTAAGAGTCTGCAAGCCAAATGAGGCTTTTCTACTTGCCTGTGATGGTGATTGCTGAACCAAAATAGATCTTGCAACTGGGATATAAGGCCAATTGAACCTATGGCATTTTCTCCAAATTCCTTTATTTTTGTTTAATGACTTGGAAGGCAGAATGGAGTTCATGTAAAAAGTCAGTACATGAAACCATGCTCGAGAGGGGACGCAGATACCTTGCAGGACAGTATTGGAATTCAAAATGATTTTGATAGATTGCAAATCAAATAGATCTCAAATGAAGATGAAATTCAATAAAGTGAAGTGACAAAAGCACAAATACAAAATGGGGAATAACTGGTTAAGCAGTACTGTAGAAAATGGTCCAGATTATAAAGCAAATATATCAGCAATCTGTTGCTCTTGCAAATAAGGGAAATGTCTTCGATAGAATTCCCTTCCAGTCCAGCAAACACATCTCTGGAAAGACTTCAACTGGAATAGTCTATCCACTTCTGGAGTACTGTGGCCAGGTCTGGGCCACCCACTCTTAAAGAATTTAGCTGAGAACAACAGGAATCATTGAGCTTAAAGACACAAGCAAACAAACCAACTAACCCCAAAAGACTCCTAGGAAGCAAGGCAGAAGGACCTAGCTGTGTTTAGTATAAGACAGAAGAAGCTCACAGGGAACGTGATGACAGTCTTCAACTATATGAAGATTGCTATAAAGAAGAGCGATCACTTGTCCTCGGTGGCTAACAAGGATAGAAGAACGAATAATCACCTCAGTTTGCTGCCATCGCAGGTTAAGTGGTTTAATCCTGTTACAGATTTCTAGGCTAGTGTTTTGCAGAAGGGAAACAGCCACAGAGCACGGCTACTGTGCTCCCAAGAAGAGTGGACGCAGAGGTCCCACTGCCTACGAGCCCTGGGCAGAGCTGCCCCATCGCGGCACCTCTGTGGCTCCTACCTGGTGAGAAGTGGATTTTTGTTTTCTCCCTTGCATCGCTTTTGGCTGCACACATGTAACAGGCGTAAATAGTATATTAAAAAGAGTCATGGAAACAAATAGATGCGATTCTGAACACACACAGGAAACACATCTGTTCTGAAATGGGACCTTTTTTTTATATAATCACTTTTCAGGGAAGAACTGAATTTTAAACATCAACCTATGTGGCTTGGCATTGGACAAGGCAAAAATAGAGATAGTGCCCTTGGGAGCTTACATTTTTCTTCTGGCACCTGCAACCCTTCCCTATTGACACTTACTATTTTCAGAACTCTATATATCCACACTCTTGTTGGCAACATACGCACTTCTCATATTCTTTCAAGTTAATGCTGCGCGAGGAAACTGCCGTCTCCCCAAGGAGAGAATGGTATTCCTCCTCTCCTCCCGTTCCCAGAAAATCAAACTACACTTGAGCTTTTAAAATGCAGTTCAAGATAAGATTTTGCCATTAAATGCACCTGTAAAAACTGCACAGCCATTACAAATTATGAAAATCACAAGATAAGTATCATAAAAAAATTCTGACACTAATGTTTATACTCAGAGCACACTGACAGACCATTAAAAATAAAATGCCTGAATACAAGAAACCAATAACTTTCCCCATTAGCTTTAAATTAGACCCAGCTTGAGTCTACCCAATATATTTAAGGTTCTGATATAAATTTCACAGGAGTAACAAATTAACAGGGATCCATATATCTTAATTTTATACATTTGGACATTTGAGGACTGATCTATAGGTCTGGCCCTGCAATACACAATGTTTTTTATGATCTGGCATAGGGGTTTTTTTGCTATTTACATATATTCTATATGGAACACTGATATTCTAAGTCTTAAATTGATTTTCCTGGAAACAGTATGA